CCTCTCCATTCACAGATAAGCATTATTGACTGGGGGCAAAATAGACTTTGTATCGTGCGTATGTATGTTTGAGACCCATTAAAATTAGAAATGGCCAATTTCATTTTCTGTCACCGTGGGACCACAATCAATGCATTTGTCGGTTGGGGTGAGAAAAACACATTTCATTGTTGACTTTAGAGACATGATGGCAGGTACAGGCTTTCACTTTTCTAATTCAATCATGCTACAAACACAGCTCTACCCACATCATTTTTGACAACCTTGACACATCATACAAGTGGATCCATGATTAAAATAATTGCGAAACTCCACTCATGTAAATAGACTGTGAAAGTGAATGTTATACACTCAACTTAATTGTTTCCAATTTGCCCTTCCCTTATATGGTTCATCTACCATGTTTATGTTGGTTGCATTTGGGAGGATTATTTCTAAAATAGCTATGCTACATTGACGGGAAAATTTGGTAGGATTTAGTGAGCAACAACACTTATCGTTCATTAATTGGAAGATGAAAGTTTTTTTTTAAAAAAAAGGGACAGATCAAAATTTGTCATATCATCCTTGTCAATTTTCTATGTCCCATTTCTCTGACTGAGTAGATTAAGCCTTCATTTGTCAATCATTCTATCACATTTTATAATATTATTTTTTTTACAGTACTTATTTTCAGTCACGTATTTTTCATTAAAATAATATTATACATAAATAAATAAAAAATCAATCTTTTTTAATCACACATTTCAATATTAATCACCATTTCATAATACACTTAAAATTAAAAGGGCACAAACATGCCCTAATTCTTTCTGAAAATTAAAGTGCTTGACATTAGTTTTGCGTACCTCAATTTTTTAACAATTTTTTTAGGGTTATGTAAGCTTTATAGCTAGCATTGTTGACTGGTCAATCTTTGGAGATTGCCATAAATAATTACTCACTTTTTTACTATTAAATAAAGAATAATACTATCTAGTATTAATGGTACTAAAATATCAATCTAAGTTATTGGTGATGTGATAGGCTCAATAAAATGTATAAATAGTGACTCGTTTAAAAATAATGATATCTAGTACTAGTGGTCATGTAACACACAACATGACAATAATGGTGCAACTATTCTTACAAACGTGGCTCTCCTTGGCGAGCAAGGATTAAGTCCCGTTTGGCCCCCATTTTTTAGAAATGAAAATGAGTGGAATAGTATTTTTTTTAAAAATGAGTGGTCGGAAAAGAAAGAAAAATTTTCGATTTACGTGTAATATTATTTTATATAAGATTGTGTGGTTGAAAAATACGAGAGAGAAAAATGGAATGTAATGTAATGAAATTTAATGAGAGCCAAATGGGGGTTAATTATCTAATGACTACTTGTCCAATCACATTTATACATCAATTCAAGTTTGAGAATCACCGGGCATTTACCCCACACTGTGTAGGGGCCCCCATATATTTTTAAAAAAAATTACGTGGGCCTCACGTATGTGTGTGGCCTGACAGTACCCTGGTTCTGTAAGCCTAGCACGGCTCTTCAATTTGCTAACTTCGGTCTATTACGTGTCCTTCTTTCATTAAAAGTCCCTGTCTAGTGGAGCCTCCTTTCCCAAAAAAAAAAAAAAAAAAAAAAAAAAAAAAAATTTTTTTTTTTTGTTTCCCAAAAAAAAAAAAAAAAAAAAAAAAAAAAAAAGACTTATTTATTGTTGCACTCATTGTAAAAATATTCCATACCATTTCAAATTTGACATTTACACTATCATTTCAAATTTCCGTCATGTTCCATTATATCATTCCATGAAATATTAGTAATTGGTGCAAAACGTTCCAATCGGTTGCCTTTTATACTCAAACCGTCCATATCGTTTGCTTTTTTGAGCAATTGTTCCTCATTTTGACACTCAGATCGACTTTTCTTTACTCTAATCGTCCTTGCCGTTTATTTTCTCTATTAAAGCATTATAAAATGATTAATTTTCCCTCATATTTAAACAATCAAACAAAAAAATAATATAAAAGTTGCGTTTTGAATTTCAATTTTATAGAAAATTATAAACAAGTCGCCAAATAATTTAAAACATTCTAATAAAAAAAAATATTTTATCTACCTAATTAACCCATCTACGCCTATGCCCATCCCCTATCCTCCAATGTCACCACCAAAATAATTAAAAATAAAAAAACCAATATGTTGTTATTCCTCATTACATTTCACACTCTGCCATTGGTCGCCCCACCCCCTTCTCCCATTCCATTGTGGCACCATCTACAAATTTAGATAATCTCCAGTAATCAAGTTTCGTATTTCAATATCTTTATTATTTTCGACGAAATTACTAGAGTTTTGTTCTTTGATAAAGAATAGATAAATTCATATTTACGAGGCACAAGAAACTTGGATAAGGAAAAAAGCACCATTTTTTCCTTACTTCTTTTATGCTTTAATTTAATTTAATTTTAAAATTATTTTAGTGGTCGT